TCATTGCAAAAGATTTTTTCCCATTCTGTGGGTTCCCTTTTTACTCTTCTGGTGAAGTCTTTTGATGTACATAGGTTTTTAATTTTTAGTATGTCCCACTCATCTATTTTACCTATTTTTGTTTGTGTGGTTTTCAAAATGTTTTGTAGTCCACGTATTCCCATCATTAGTGCTTTCACATTTGTCCCGAATTTTTCATTGATGACCTTCATAATTCTGGGATTCTCATTTAGGTCCTTAATCCATGTTGAGTTGGTTTTTGTATACAGTGTGAGGTGAAGGTCTGTTTCAGACTTTTGCATATCCTTTTCCAGTTCTGCCAGCACCATCTGTTGAAGAGACTATCACCTCCCCATGGGATATATTTTGGTGTTTTGTCGAAGGTCAATTGGCTGTATGTAGATGCATTAATTTCTGGATTCTGTTACATTGATCTGTGTACCATTCATTGTACCAGTACTAAGCTGTTTTGACTACTGTAGCCATGTAGTGTATTTTAAAGTCGGGAAGTGACAGACCTCCAACCTTATTCTTGTTCTTAAGCAGTGCTTTGCTTATCCTGGGTCTCTTTCCCTTCCATATAAAGTTTGTAATTGCTTTTTCCGTCTCTTTGAAGAATGTTGTTGGAATCTAGATTGGTATTGCATTATATGTGTAAATTGCTTTGGGCAGTGTTGACATTTTCACAATGTTAAGTCTTCCTATCCAGGAGCATGGTACTTTCTTCCATCTTTGTAAGTCTCTTGGTTTCTTGCAGTAGTGTTTTGTTTTTCATTGTATAAGTCCTTTCTTTCTCTGGTTACATTTATTCCAAGATATTTCATCCTTTGTGTGGCTGTTGTAAATGGTATTGCTTTCTTAATGTCCTTTTCATCACTGTCATTTTTGGTATAGAGGAATCCAGGTGATTTTTGTATGTTAGTCTTATACCCTGCCACTTTGCTGAATCTTCCAATGAGGTCTAGTTGCTTTTTTACTGAGTCTTTGGGGTTTTCTACATATAGTATCATATTGTCTGCAAATTGGGAGAGTTTTACTTGCTCTTTGCCAATTTGGATGCCTTTAATTTCCCTGTCTT